GGAGAGCAAACAGGATGGATTTCCAACACTGTTTCATCCAGTGAGTTGTTGAGTCTCCTGCAGCGGTGGGAGCCCTGGAGTGGGAACTGCTTGTGCTATCTCCATTCCCGTCCATCCCCATCCAGCTCCGTCATTGTTTACCTCCTCAGGGCTGACCACAAGCCTTGCAGAGCCTCCCCTGGAAAAAAACAGCTCAGAACAGTTATTTTTATGGAAATAGTGAAGCAGTGAGTGGATTTAGAGCTGTGTTGGAGGACTGCTGTGGGCTCCCACCCGCCAAGGAGACGAGGTGCCCACAGAGCACCCCCAGCCATCCATCCCAAACCACAGCTTCCACACACCTCCTCCTCACCTGCAGAGAGGTGAGGCTCTGTGTCACCGAGAGCCAGCTGGCCTTGAGCAGCACCGAGCTCTGGTGCTGGTTGTCTTTAGCCCGTGGCAAACTCCAAAATTCCCACCCTGCTCCGTGTTTTTATGAGTACGAGCTCCTCATTCCCTACATGTTCCTATGAGCTGTTGTTAACCCTACAAACGTAACCTGTGTAATAGCTTCTCTGTATATTACAGCTGTAGGCTTTCCAGATAAAAGTGGATAATATTTATTTACTGAAGATACTGGATATTTTTTTGTTTGGGAATGGGGTAGGGGGAGAGAGGGGACATAACTGTTTAAAGTGATTGACTATGTAAAGAGAAACAAAATACACAAGAAGCAGAGAAACCCAACACTAAAACATCACTGTATTCAAGTAGAAAGTGTTTCTGTTAAGGACGAGACAACTGTATTAATCTGCCATTGTTTAACTTGCTCCAGAAATCATCTCCTTGGTTCCTGCATGTGAGATATTCCAATAAATACACTATTAGTGTGAGCTGGAGGTGCTATCGTCTGTCTCTCAGCTGGGGACTCGCTTGCCATGAGCACAGGGGACATGTGCAGCCCTTGGGTACCCACCAGATGTCAAAACTGGGAGTCCTCGTTCTCCTCCAGGAGCCAGAACGTGGGTATTGTCACTGGGAGAAGGCTTGTCCCCAGCAGTTGCTCTTTGTGTCATTGTATGGCTCGTGCTCCCCTCAGTGCTGTTGCCAGCGGTGCTAAATTCACATCCCACTAAATTCTGGCACATCTTTTGAGGGTGGCATCAGGCAGGTGCACGGGTGACAGCCTGGGTGCTCGGTGGGATGCCTGCCCACCTGGCTGGGCTCAGCTGGCAGTCCTTGGAGGGCAACTGGGGGTCACCCCCGGTGACCTGGAAAGAGATGGGTGATGTTCCCAGCCCATCCAAGGGCCACTTTCCAGACTCATCAGCCAGGAATTTATTCCAACATCCCCATTATGATGGTGGGTCTGATGGGCAGAGAAGGAAGAGCACCAGCTTAGGAACCCCAGAGAAGTGGCATTGGCCAAAACTGAACCTGGCTGGCAGAATGGTGCCCTCTGTTCTGCACGTGCAGATCCACCCTGGGTGTTTAAATCTGGGGAAGGGGGTGTGGAATACCTGGAATAGCTACAGGGTTTCCCCTGCCTGTAGCTACATATTAGCATTCAACAGCCCTGCCCCAACTTGTTTACCCCTCACTGATCATGTGCCTGGCTCAATGTCGGATGCATTCAGGGAGGCTCCTGGCCTGGATCTGTTGGGAAAGGTGTGGAGCTGCTGCTGCCCTGACAGGGCAGAATCACACAAAAAGCATCGGGTCAGAAATGTCCAGCGCTGTGCATGAGGGGCAGTGGGAATGGGGGCTGTGGGAATGGGGTTGTGAGGAGTGGGGGATTTGGGAGGGGGGATTTAGGAGCAGCGGGCTGCTCCTTCCAGGGGCTTCACTACACTGTCCTCTGCAGCCCCACAGTTACACTTGTGAGGGAAAGATCCCTTCAAAAACCTCAAATTCTGCCTCCAACAGGGGCCAGAGTGGGTGCAAAGGGAAGAGTGTAAGGGCAGCACAAGCACATAGGGACTTGCCTTTCCCATGTTGCCCCTCCAGCCTCTGGCAATCCAACTCCCCAAACTGAGCCCAGGTTTGTGAACCCTGATGGGATTCTCTTCTCCCAGCCTGCTCCCACAGCAACTGTGCAAACTCCCAGCATGGGCTGGGGGCTTCCACACATCACTGCCCTCCACGGTGGGCTGCCAGCTGGGCACAGAGCAGCACCGAGCCCCAGATGGGCACAGCCTCGGGCAAGCTGAGTGTCACTGCTTTCTGGCACTGGGCAGCAGCTTTGGATGCCAGTACAAATAGGAAATGACCACAGGTCATTTACCTTTCCCCATTTAACCCGAGGGTAAATAAACCTGGAGTGGGGGCTGCACTGCAGTGCCACCAAGCCTGCCTGTGCCTCCCCAAGCTGCGTCTCAGGAAGGGACAGCTGGCAAAGCCGAGTTACACGCAGTGAAGGAGAGAAGAGGCTTTTGAATCTGTTTGCGACACAAATTAATGATTAACGCCGCGTTCTGCCGGAGCAAAACAAGCCCCGGGGCAGGCAGGATGCCAGAGGCTGGGCATGGAGCATGGCACGCTGCTTCCAGCGCAGGGCTGAGGTGTGCTGGCAGGTGGGAAACAGCCGGGGGCTCGCTCTGGGAGAGCCCAGCCGGCGGAGCGAGGGGCAGCAGGACGGGGGATGCTCCGTCCTGGAGCCGCCGGTTCAGGCTCAGCACGTCCGGAGCTGCCGCTCGGGGGGATGCTCCCCATGCCCGCGGAGCCGCACCAGCCTGCCCGGCTGGCTCGGTAGCCCCGGTAGCCAAAGCCCAACCATCCCGGGGCCGGTTTGTTTTCTTTCTCATCCTGCGGTTTCCTCCCAGCCTGCGCTCAGGAAAACGTCTCAGCGACTCCGGAGCGCCCACGTGGCCGGTCCGCCATCCCCGCAGGACTGACATGATGTAATCGCGGGCCCCGAGCCGTGATGCAGAATCACTCCACTCACGGAGCCGCGCTTATTGGCTGCGTGGCCCTGGTCCTACGGGCGGGGTTTTCCCTGCTCCGCAATCCCCGGGAGCCCCACCCCGAGTGGAATCCATCGGCCCCAAAGCCGGCGCACGGAGCCGCTTCGTCCTTCCCCGGTGCGCGGAGGATGCTGCTGCTCGCTGGGGGAACCCAGGGGCAGGGACAGCATCACTTGTGGGCTCCCGGCGTCCTCGGACCCTCTGGATGGGGATTGGGCCTGGCAAAATGCAGCTTTGTACGCAGTTTGTGCAAAAGTTAAGCTGTGTTTACGTGTGTTATTCCCCCCGCTTCTGCGTTTGTGTGGGTTTGTCCTACATCCCTCAGGGAAGGCTGTGCCCCGGATCTTGCATGGGTTATTAAAGGTCTGTGACCCCCACGCTTGCACAAGTCTGCTCAAAATCCATGGGGGCCACAGCACATCCATCTCCCCAGCCCTGGAAACCTGCCCTGTCCTCCCACAGCACAGGGACTGCACCAAGGAAAGGGAAACGCCACCGCCACGGAGCCTGTCTTCTCTGCAGTGACCCCAATAAAAACGGGGGTGAGCACAAGGGGGGAAACACAAGGGGGGGAAGCACAAGGGGGGAAGCACAAGGGGGGAAGCACAAGGGGGGAAGCACAAGGTGGGGAAGCACCAGGCTCCCTCCATGTGCCACGGCAGGTCACAGCTCTCCCGATCATGTGGTCGCTGTTCCCCCCGTGGTGTTTGCTCTGGGTCAGGGATGTCCGAGGGCTGATCTGCCCCAGCTGCTGGCACAGAGCTGAGCCAGGATTCCCTGGGCTCGTCCCCAGCTCGGGCACAGGTCAGTGTCCCCAGATTGAGGAGGCTGGAGTGGGGTGAGGGTGCAGAGGGGACAAGCAGGGCTGTGCAGCTCCAGCTCTGCTGCCCGGCTCTGTGTGGTCCCCCAGGGCGCTCTGTGCCACTCAGGGGTCCCTGTATTGCAGGGGGGTGCCTGCTGTGCCACCAGGTGGGAGCCAGTGAGGCCAAAGGGAAGTTTCTAAGGTGCAGCCAGGTTTAACGAATTCCCAGGTAGCCTCAGATTGTGTTTGGTGGCACAGAAGAGGAGGGGGCAAACTTCCAGAGAGCTGATGTTGCAGCACATTTTCTAGTCCTAAATGAATCCCAGCAGCAGGACAGACCATGGAGCTCTGCAGGGCACAGGGCATGGCATTTTCCTGGCACAAGAGTCCCACTCTGAGACCTACCACGCTTGGGCAGCTCCCACAGCACTGATCCCAATGGCACCAGCATTTTTCCTGGATCCCACAACTGATGGACACCAGGAGGGTGCACGGGCTCAGCTGAGGCTCACAGGGCAGCCCTGGGGTGTCCCTAACCAGGGGGTGAGAGCCTCTCCCATCCTGGGCCATGCCCTGGGTGGGCAGCACAGGTGGGACATGCTCTGAGCCCTGGAGCTGGCACGGGGAAGGCCCAGGGCTCTTGAGAGGGTTGGTTCAGTGGCCCAACCTCGCCCTGGCACGTGGCATCCGACGTGCAGAGGCTTCTGCAGGCACGGCCAGCACCTGCCCACCCGGGCTCCCCAGCCTGCTCCCTGCATGTCCTGTCGGGGACTGAGGGGGCTCAGTGCCCAGCCCAGGTGTTTAGAGCCCGGCCCAGGGATCTGGTGCCTGTCCTTAGGGCTTGGTGCCTGTCCCCAGGGGTCGGTGTCTGTCCCCAGGAGTGAATGACGTCCCCAGGGCTCAGTGACAACCACAAGGATCGATGATTTTCCCGGGCTCTGTCTGTTCCTAAGGCTCGGTGCCCATCCCCTGGGGTCAGTGACATCCCAGGGGTCGGTGACATCCCCAGGGCTTGGTGACATCCCCTGGGGTCAGTGACATCCCCAGAGGACGGTGTCCTGCTCAGGGGTTGCAGCCAGCTCGCAGCTCGCAGCCCCGGTGCCGCGGGGTCCCTGCCCGGTGTCCCCGAGGGTCCCTGCCCGGTGTCCCCGAGGGTCCCCGCTCGGTGCCGCCGGGGTCCCGGTGCGCCGGGGCGGCGCGGAGAGGCGGCGCGGGGCGGGACAAGGCGGCGGCCCCGCCTCCATCCCCCCCCGCCCTCCCCGCCCGGTGGCAGCTCCGGGCACGGTTCGCGGGAGCAACTTGGCGGCTCGTCCCCGTGCTGCCTGTGCCCGGGCCAGCGCGGCCATGGCGGGCGGGCGGCCCCGCCGCCCCTAGAGCCGCCCGAGCTGCCGGAGCCACCGGAGCCACCGAGAGCCACCGAGAGCCACCGGAGCCGCCGGGATGAGCGCTCTCGCCTTCGACGACGCGGCCCTGGAGGGGCTGGCACCGTCCCTCGGCCTCTCCGGGGCCAGCGACATCGACACGGCCCTGCTCAGCGACATCGACGGTGCGGACCGGCGGGGACGGGGCTCGGCACGGCCGGGGCTTGGGGCATGGCCGGGACCGGGCTGGGGTGGGGGTATAGCGGGGGCTCGGTGCACGGCGGGGCTCTGGGCCCGGTGCAGTCCTGGGGCTCGGTGCGTGACCGGGACCGGGCTGTGGAGGGGCCGGCACCGGGCTGGGGGAAAGCCGGGCTCGGTGCTCGGCCGGGGGCTGGGCACGGTGCGGTACCGGCGCTTGGAGCGTGGTTGGGACATGCCTGGGGGTGTGAGCGGGGCTTGGGACCCAGCCGGGACCGGGCTGGGGGTGTAACCAGGCTCGGTGCAAGGTCAGGACCGAGCTGGAGGTATAACCGGGGCTCGGTGCATGGCCGGTACCGGGCAGGGGGTGTAACCGGGGCTCCGTGAATGGGCGGGCGCTCTCCGTGCACAGCCGGTGCCTGGGGATCCAGGCTCGGTGCACGGTCAGGGAACTTGGTACCGGCGTTTGGCCGGGACAGCGGGATCGGTGTATAACCAGGTCTCCGTGCATGGCCGGCGGACCGGGCTCGGTGGCGGGCCCGGCGTGGGGAGGAGGGGACACCGAGCTGCTGGAGCGCGGAGTCGGTGCAGAACCGCTCTGGCTGCGTTCCCGGGGGCCGCTCCATAGCGGGGGGCTCGGGCTGGGGGAACACGGGACACCGGGACCCCCGCGCTGGAGGTGCCGCTACCGGGACAGCCCCGAGGATCCCCCCCCGCTCCCGGTCACAGCATCGTGTCGCCGGTAGCCCCGCCCCCCGTGACGTCACCGGCGGGGTTACTCTCGGTCGTTCCCTCCAGGCCGCCGGGGCTCTCCCAACCCATCCGACCGGCGTGTGCTGAGATGGGGCGGCTCTGCCCCAGCCCCGGGGCTGCCACCCGCCAACACCCGCCAACACCCAGCTCCCCGCCGGTCCGGGCTCCGTGAGATGGGCACGCTCCCGTTCCCGGAGGGAACCCGCTTCCCAAAGGGACGCATTCCTCAAGGGGACCCGCTTCTCGCCGCCATAGCACCACGTGTGCCGAGTTCAGTGTTTCCAAGGCTTTGGCAAAAAATTAGGGATCCAGAAAAATTTGGGATCTCAAAAAAATTGGGGATCCCAGCTCTAGGCAAGCCCCGCACCCGCTTTGCCACGTGCTCCACCAGCTCTGCCGATCCACGCCATCCCGCAGAGCCGGTGGAACGCGCGGCAAGGCGGGCACGGGACTGCCAGCACCTGCCCCACTGCGGGGTCCGTGGTGGTCTCTCCTCCGAGATCTGGGGTGGAGATGGCATCCCAGGTCTGCAGGTTCGTCGCAGTGGCAGTCGGGGTGGATCAAAGCAGATCCAGGTGCCACCTGCTTTTCTTGGCGAGGTTTTGGCGTGGGCAGGGAAGGAGGAGCTGTGCCAGGGCTGAGTGGTGCCGTATGGGATGAGGTTTTCCCACTGTGGGGTTTTGCCACGCTCCTTTGTATCACAGCCAGCCGGGCCACCTCGTTCCCCACAGTTCCCCAAAGTGGGTTTGTCACCAGTCCCTGCTTGGCCACGGCTTGTCCCTCATCCCTGTACCAACCCTAGGGTGATGTGGGATGTGTGCCCACGGATGTGGGTGCCCTGAGCCTGCTGGGACCTGCCAGGACCCACAGACGAGTGGGTCTGCCCCACAGGTTCCCACGGTGGGGGTGGAGGTGGCCCTGGTGGGTGCCCATTGTCCTGCTGATGGCGTGGGTGGCAGCGGGTGCCACAGGACAGAAACACCTGGAAGGTGCCAGGAGGGTGGGACAGCCGTGCCCACCCCCAGGCTGGGCAACAGGGAGGGGGGAGAGGACAGGAGGGAGCACCCCATCTCTGCAACCCCAGACTTTGCTCTGGACCACGAGGGAGCCTTGGGGGGGGGAGGGGGGGGTCTCTGAGTGGAAGGGGGGGCTGGGAGCCCCCAGAAGGACACCCACCTGCGCAGGGCAGGATGCCGAGTGCTGGGTGGTTTTTGGGGTGGAACAGCGTTGTGTGCAGCCCCGATGGTTGCGGGGTGACTCCTGGGCAATGAACGCGGGGGGGGTCACACCGGGCTGGGGGCGGGGGGCGATGGGGGGCGGGCAGAGGGGTTAAGGGAGAGTGACCCCGAGTAACCGCGGGCGGCTTGCGGCGAGTGGCCGCCAGTAACCCGGTGCCGGGCTCACCTTGGGCGCCGGGGGCTGTCCGGGGGCGGCCGGCGGCGATTGGCGGAGTCGCATCACCCCATCGCCGGCCGCGCTCCAGCCCTGGCGCGGGCAGCGCGGGGAGGGCGCCGGGGAGGAGGCGAGAACATGGCTTTAAAATATCCCGGGGCCTCTTCGCTGCCGGGCACGGGGCTGAGCGGGGGCTGCGACCTCCTCCTGGGGATCCCTCCGCTCCCACCTCCATGGAGTGCACCTTTGAAGGTACCCCCGCCTCTCCAGCCTTCTTCTCCTCCTCCTCCTCCCCCTCCTCGGCTGGCGGGGTCATCACCGTGGTCCCTCTTGGAGGCTGCACCCCATGGGGAAGGCGGTGTCCGGGGGCTGTGTGTCTCGGTGGGGACATCCCGGGGGTGTGTGCCTGGGGGGTGCCCTGGGGGTATCCCGGACTGCGTGCAGGGAGGGGTGAGCCTGGGGGTACCGGGGATGTGGGGTGTCCTGGGGTCTGTCCTGGTCAGGATCCCAGGACACTGTGGAGATGTCACAGAGACCCCGATGTGTCTGTGTAGGTGCTGTTGATGGGACAGACCCCGCTCAGGCTGTTTGAGCCCTGTGCTTGCCCAGCTGCCCTCCTGAGGGCTCTTGTGATCAAACACACCCGGCGCTGGGGTCTGGCACATCCAGGGGGTGCCACCCCGCTGTCCCAGTCTGAGCACCCCCTCCCCTGATACAGGAGCTGATTTGGGGATTCTTGGGGATCCCAGGACAGGATAAATGAATGAGCTGGCACAAGCCCCCCTCAACAGAAGAGACATGCTGAGATGTGCCCTGCCACTCCCAGACCCGGCTGAAAAACGCTGACTGCTGTTGGCCAAGCCCTGACACCCCCGTTTTGAGCACCGTGCCTCAGTTTCCCCAATGTCAGGATGAGTGGGAGGCTGAGAGGAACAGGGCACAGCAGATTCATGGGCTCACAGCGAATTTTGCCTCTGGATTATGGGGATCTGCCCCCTAAATGCTACACTGCAGGGGGGGCAGGACGGGACCAGCCCAAGCCCACCTTGGGAGGTGCGGGGCAGCAGCTGACGGCACAGGGGCTGTGTTTTACAGACATGCTGCAGCTGATCAACACGCCGGACAATGACTTCTCGGGGTTGTTCGACTCACCGTTCAGTGCCCCGGACAGCGCCGTGCCCCCGGGGCTTCCCTCCACGCCGGGCACCCTCAACACCTTCCTGGGTCCCAGCAAGCCGCCCCCCGCCGCCCCCACCGGCAGCGCCTACGCGGGGCCCCCCGGGATGGCCAGCTTCACCCCGCCGCCCCCGGCCCCGCTCCTGCCCGTGCCGTCCCTGGGTGTCAAGGAGGAGCCATCCGTGGTGCCCAGCAGCCAGCCCCAGCCCCAGCCCGGCGTCATGCTGGCCCCCAGCTTCGTCCCTGCGTCCCCCAGCCCGTTCACTCCCCAGCCCTTGGTGGGTTACCAGAACCAGCACAGCTTCTCAGGTGAGCATTTGGGGGTGCAGGGAGGGATCGGGGCTCCCAGGGTGAAGGTCTTGCTGGAGGGGGGATGTGTCCCTGCAGGATGGGGCTGTGCGGGGTGGGCTGGTGCCAGGGGCTCTCTTAACGCTGTCCTCTGCTCCATGCCCAGCTGTGCAGCCTGGGAGTGCGGGGCAGACCCTGCCAAGCCCTCTGCCCACCCCACAACCCAGCCAGCCCGTGACACTGCCCGCCCCCGTGCAGAACGTGGCACCCCAGCAGCTCCTAGCCCCCGCTGCCCCCACCACCCAGTCCGTGTCACCACAGATCCAGTCAGTGCCGGTAAGCCCAGGGCCAGGGGTGGGGGGTCCCGGTGCCCCCCACAACCCCTCTGACCCCCACTGCCCCTCAGGTTCTCCTGCAGCCCCATTTCATCAAGGCTGACTCCCTGCTGCTGACGGCCGTCAAGACAGACGCCAGCAGCGCCAAGACTTCCACCATCGCCTCCCTGGCCACCAGCGCCAGCGGCTCTGCCACCCCGCTCCAGGTGCCGGTAGGTGCCACCGCCGCGAGCTGCAAGGTGGGGAGAAGCTTCACCCCGTCACTGACCCTGCCCTGCGCCCTGCAGGCGCTGGTGAGCGGAGGGACCATCCTGGCCACGGTGCCGCTGGTGGTGGACGCGGAGAAGCTGCCCATCAACCGGCTGGCGCCCAGCGGGAAGCCGGCGCTGGTGCAGAGCCGCGGCGAGAAGCGCACGGCCCACAACGCCATCGAGAAGCGCTACCGCTCCTCCATCAACGACAAGATCGTGGAGCTCAAGGACCTGGTGGTGGGCACCGAGGCCAAGGTGGGGGCAGGGGTTGGTGGGGCAGGGCTGGGCAATGCGGGGGCTTTGGGCAGAATTTGGGCTGAACTGTCCCGGCCCGCTGGCAGCTCAACAAGTCGGCGATCCTGAGGAAGGCTATCGAGTACATCCGCTTCCTGCAGCAGAGCAACCAGAAGCTGAAGCAGGAGAACCTCGCCCTGAAGATGGCCATGCAGAAGAACCGTGAGTGGGAGGGCAGCTCTTGGGGTGGGGGGCTCAGCTCCATGCCCCCAACCAGCCATCAGCTTACTCTGCTTCCTGCAGAGCCTGTGAAGGACCTGGGGACGCACTGCAGCCGGGGGGCCAAGGCAGAGGCCCCCATGGAGGTGGTGAAGGCAGAGGTGATGGATATGCTGACACCACCACCCTCAGACGTGGGCTCACCATCCCACAGCAGCCCACTCTCACTCAGCGGTGGCAGCAGCAACAGCAGCAGCGACTCAGAGCCCGACAGCCCCCTCTGTGCCCATGGCAAGGTGAGGGGGGCTGGGGGGATCTCCCTGCCCTGAGTGGGGCAGGGGATCTGCTGCTTCACGTAGGAGGTGCCAAGGGCAAAGTGTACCAGATGGGAAAAGAGCTGAGAGCCCTGGTCTTGTTCTCTGAGGCTGCTCCTCACATGATTTGGGGCTGGGTGGAGTTTGTTCTGCCTTAAAATGTGCTCTGTGCCCCGTGCCTATACCCTGAAATCCGTGCCCCTGCACTCCAGCCTGTGCCTCATCACCATGCCCTGTACCCATGCCCTATATCCCATTGCCTATATCCCATGCCCGTCCCCCATCACCACACCCTGTATTCCATGCCGTGTGCCCCATGCTCTGGATGCCATGCCCTATATCCCATGCCATATATCCCATGCCTGTGTCCACCATCCCACGTCCATGCCTGTGTCCCAGGCTCACAGCAGCTCTGCCCGTGCAGGTGAAGCAGGAGCACCCACCGCCCTCTCCCAGCAGCCAAGGAATGCTGGACCGCTCCCGCATGGCCCTCTGCGCCTTCGTCTTCCTCTGCCTCTCCTTCAACCCCCTGGCCTCCCTCCTCCGGGGTTCTGCCTCCCCAGCCCCCTTGGGGAGCCAGGACACCGCTGGTCCCGGCAGGAGCATCATGGCTGAGTCTGGCACTTTGGGTAAGCTCTGGTGTGGGGTGGGAGACATTGGGATGGAGATTGTTGGGATGGGTGTGGGATGGAGGCTGTCACGGTGGGCATGAGCTAGAGGTTGTTGAGGTGAAGACCATCAAGGTGCAGCATGTTGGGGTGGGTGTATGGTAGGAATTACCTGGCTCAAGGCTGTTTGGGTCGGCATGAGGTGAAGACTGTTGGGATGGGGGGCATCAGAGTGGTGACTGTCATAGTGGAGGTGATCATGGTAGACAGGGGGTGAAGGCCATCAGGATGGGGATTTCGGGGTAGGTCTGAGATGGGAGATGATTGGGGTGGACATGGGGCAGAAGCCATTGGGTGAATTCTGCTGGGATGGCCACAGAGTGAAGGCCACCAGAATGGATATCCTGGGGTGCGTGTGAGGCAGAGACCATTGGGGTGGAATCTGTTGGGGAGGACACAACTGGGTGGAGGCTCTTCGGTGGACATGGGATGAAGGCCACTGGATGGGCACCCTGGGGTGGGCACAGGGCAGCATTGGCGGGGTGTCGCTGACCCCATCCCTGCACAGAGGACCCACGGGGATGGACGCAGTGGCTGTGGCCCACACTGGCCTTCTGGGCACTGAACGTGGCGCTGGTGCTGGGCGCGGTGGTGCGGCTCTTCGTCTGCGGGGAGCCCGTCACTCGCCCCCACTCCGAGCCCTCCATCCTCTTCTGGCGGCACCGCCGGCAGGCCGACCTCGACCTCGACCGGGTACGTCCCACCGTGCACCCTGTCCCTGTCCCACCTGCCCTGTCCCCTCATCCTGCCCACACTGATTCTGTCTCTGGCGTGCAGGGAGACTTCGCGCAGGGGGCCCAGCACCTGCGGACGGCGCTCGGGGCGCTGGGGCGGCCGCTGCCGGCCTCCCACGGGGACCTGGCCTGCAGCCTGCTCTGGACGCTCCTGCGCCACCTGCTCCAGCGCCTCTGGGTGGGGCGCTGGCTGGCTGCCCGTGCCGGGGGGCTGCGCCCGGACCCCCCGCCCCCTGCCCACGTCCGCCAGAGTGCCCGCGACGCTGCCATGGCTTATCACCGCCTGCACCAGCTGCACCTCGCCGGTACGGCCCCGCGCCATGGGGCCTGAGGGACCCTGTGCCCCGCGTGTCCCCACAACACCCTGACCCCATGCCTGAGCCTTCCTGTCCCCATTCTTATAGGGAAGCAGGCTGGGGGACATCTTCTGGCCATCAACCTGGCACTGAGCGCTGTCAACCTGGCTGAGTGCGCCGGTGACGCCATCTCCGTGGCAGCGCTGGCCGAGATCTACGTGGCGGCTGCCCTGCGGATCAAGGCCAGCCTGCACCGCTGCTTCCACTTCCTGGCGGTGAGTGTGGGGCACTGGGGTGTCCCCTGTGTCCCCTGGGACCGGGGTCTCAGGCCCTTCCTGACCCCCTGCTCTCCCCGCAGCGCCCCTTCCTCTGCAGCGCCCGGCGCGTGGCCCTGTCCCACGGCGGGGCCGTGCCCCCCGCCATGCAGTGGCTCTGCCACCCCTTGGGACACCGCTTCTTTGTTGACGGGGACTGGGCGGTCAAGGGTGTCCCCAGGGAAACCATCTACAGCTCCGCCGGCAACCCAGGTGACTCCAAGCTCCCAAACCCCGCACCCCCATTTTGGGGTGTGGTGTACCTGCTGACCCCATCTCTGTGTCCCAGTGGACCCGCTGGCTCAGGTGACCCAGCTCTTCCGTGAGCACCTCCTGGAGAAGGCGCTGTGCTGCGTGGCCATGCCTGAGCCCGGCCGTCCCACTGCTCAGGGAGAGGGGTGAGTGCTGGGGTGGGCACCTTCTCCCCCTGCCTGGCGTGGGGCCAGCACCCTCACAGCCCCTTTCCACAGGCGGTTCTCTGATGCCCTCGAGTACCTCCAGCTGCTGAACGGCTGCTCGGATGTCAGTGGCACACCTGGCCCCACACCCTCCATCACCTCCGGCTTGGCGGCTGTCACAGGTGAGGCTGGCGTGTCCCCCATTGGGGTCACTTCATGAGGGGGGCCATGGGAGTGGAAACACCCTGCTCCTGTGTCCCTCCTACCCCTCAGGCACCGACCCCGTGTCCAAGTGGTGGGCGTCCTTCATTGGCATCGTTATCCACTGGCTGCAGGGAGATGAGGAGGGGGCTGAGCGCCTCTACCCACTGGTGGAGACCATGCCCCGGGCACTGCAGAGCTCTGAGTGAGTGCTGGGGACACTGGGGACAGGGGTAGCACCTCATTGCATGTCTCCCGTCCCCTTTGGACTGACACAGCCACTCTGAACACACTTGAAGCACCTGGTGTGTGCTGAGGAAGGAAGTGACCATACCCCCTCCACCTTGCAGGAAGCCCCTTCCCCGTGCTGCCCTGCACTCTTTCCGAGCTGTCCGTGCCTTGCTGAGCAAACAGGATGGGAGCCAGGCCACCCTGGGCCACTGTGAGAAGGCCAGCAGCTGCCTGCGGGAGAGCCTGGAGCTGGGCAGCCCCCCCAAGGGCACCATCGACAAGGTGAGCTGGGCTGGGGAGGGACGAGGTGGCCGCGAGCCCCCAGCCCTGGCGGGAGGTGCCCCCGACCCTCGCGGGGGTGCATTGTAGTTGCATTGCATGTGTCAGACTGGGAGTGCAATGCCCCTGCCATGCAGCCCGGCGGGGGTCCCGCGCAGCAGCGCCTGCCCGCAGCGACCTCCTCGGCACCCCCGTCCGTCTGTCCCACCCCCTGCTCACCCCTTTCCCCTTGTCCCTGCAGGCGGTCCAGCTCCTGCTCTGTGACCTGCTGCTGGTCACCCGCACCAACCTGTGGCAGCAGCAGATGGGGGCGAGCCAGCAGCGCAGCTGCCTCTACCAGGCATCCGCCCTGGAGCTCCGCGGCTTCCAGCAGGACCTGAGCAGCCTGCGGCGCCTGGCACAGACCCTGCGCCCCGCCATGCGCCGGGTGAGCCCCCCGCCTGTCACCTGCTGGCTCCCCTGGTGCCCTGCACTTGGCTGTGCTCACTGTCCCCCCCAATCCAGGTGTTCCTGCACGAAGCCACTGCCAGGCTGATGGCCCGGGCCAGCCCCACGCGCACCCACCAGCTGCTGGACCGCAGCCTGCGGAGGAGAGGGGTGCAGGGCAGCAAGACAGGTGGGCACGGGGTGGGCACGGGGTGGGCACGGGGTGGGGCACCTCACTGCTCAGCTGCAGTACCTCAGCAGCCTTGGGTGGCGTGGGATATGGGGTGGGACAGGGGTGGGACACATCGCTGTGCAGCCACAGTACCCCAGCACGTTGGGTGGAGGGACATGGGGTGGGATACCTTTGTCACCACCTTGGAGGATGGGAAGTGGGGTGGGGCACCCTGCTCCACACCTACAGCAGCCCCCACAGGTGCTGGGTTGTGGGAAAACCCATTCTGCACCCCACAGCAAGCTTGGATGATGGGATATGGGGTGAGACACAGGGTGGGACACCCCTTTCCCACCTGCAGCACTCCAGCCCCACAGCTGGTGGGTCATGGGGTGTCCCACCCCACCTGCAGCACCCCAAGAGCTGGGACACGTGAGCTCCCAGCCCCTCCATGGTGGTGGCACCAGCTCCAGGGCGGTGAACAACCCCATCCTCGATCCCTCTGAGATTTACTCCGGGATTACCACGGGGCTGACCTCAGCTCTGTCCCCTGCAGCTGGCGAGCCAGAAAGCCACCCCACGCCACGGGAGCACGCCGAGGCGCTGCTGCTGGCCTGCTGCTACCTCCCGCCCAGCTTCCTGGCGGGCCCGGGCCAGCGCGTGGGGATGCTGGCCGAGGCCGCCCGCACGCTGGACAAGCTGGGCGACCGCCGGACGCTGCACGACTGCCAGCAGATGATCATCAAGCTGGGCAGCGGCACCACCGTCACGTCGGGATAGGTGGGGAAGGGGCCGCCAGCCCCCCTGCCACCCCCCGTGGGTGCGGAATGCGGGGTGGCGGGAGGCCGTGCCTCAGTTTCCCCGCTGGGTGATGTTAGGCAGCGGTTTTGGGAGTGAAGGGGTGGGTGGGGAGGGGTCGGGTGATGCCTGGCGGGGGCGGGGTGGAGGTGGCAGCGTGGGGCAGCCACGCGTGGGGTACCCTGGGTGGGCTTCAACCCCCCCGGGCCGTGTCCGTGTCCCCGGCCCGCGTGGGGGACGGGGCGTGGGGCCCTCTAGTGACCCTGCCGCAGTATTGCAGGGCACCGGCACGCGCGGCAGCGACCCCCGGTGCCACCCGACCCCCCCCCAGTGCCACCCGCATCCCCCCGCTGTCACCTGCGCCCCTCCGTGCACACCCCCTTGGGGGGGTCTCTGCCCGGCCCCCCGGGGGTCCCACTGCTGCAGGACCCCTTGGCTTTGGGGCTCGCTTCCGCAGGTGTGGCCCCATGGCAGGGGGAAGTGCCCCCTGCCCAGCCATGCCCTTGGTAGGCAAGAGGGGACCCCCACCCTACCCCCCCCTCCCCAGCGCTGATCCCCCCCCATTAAGAGCTGCCACCACCCCGGAGCACGGCCGGGCTCTGGGAGAAGGGCTGGCAGGGGGGCACGGGGCTCCTGGGGGGCTGGTGGGTGCCCCTGTGTCCTTGCTTCACCCCCTCTTGTACATAGACCCCCTCCCCTCGCCTCCCCCCACTCCCCTTTTCCCTTTTTAAACGGTATTTTCATAGTTGGAGAGTTTTGTACAGACAATTAAAGCTGATTATTTATACTGGTGTGTGCTGGATTGGAGGGGGACTGGCACCAAAAGCGGGGGGCAAGGGGCCCCCCACAGCTGTGGACACCTTGTCCCCACAGGGCTGCACGGGAGGGGGGGACACGGGTGGCAGGGATGGGGACACTGGCTGCTGAGGGACCCAAACACCCCCTCTTTACCCCGTGGTGTCCCCGGGGTGCTGTCCCCACACCATCGGGACCCTTGGGGACAAAGGACCAGGCAGGGGCTGTCACAGCCCGGGGGGGACCCCAGCAGCCCCCCAAGGATAAAGAGAGGTCACGAGCAGGGCGCCACGTACTTCCAAAACAATCGTTGTATCTTTATTGACGCTCTGAATGCAATGACCTGTTTTTTTACTCTTAAGGAAAATAAACATCTTTTAGAAACAGCTTGTTACACACAATCTTCAGTGTGAAGCAATATACTAATAAGAACACTAGTCTTAACATTTACAGTCTTCATATATATTATATATATGTATATGTATACATATATATACACTATATAATGAGGCAATATATAATACACACGGTTTACCATTTTACAGTCATATGTACAAGATGTCACTAAAAATAGCCAGATTTCAGGCAACACTGCCAAGGACACGGGATTTTTTTTTTTCTTCTTTAAATTAATTTATTATTATTATTATTATTTCTCCCTTTTAAATTTTTTTTTCCTCACCTCCTCTTTTTGTTTTTCACTCCTGTGTCCGAGGCAGCTGCTGAAACAACAGACATTGTGTGGCCAGCAAACCTTGGGGTGGTTGGGATGGAGGGGACACAAGAGGTGGTGGGGACATGGGGCGCTGGCTCTGCAGGGGACATGGATGGGACCAGCAGTGTGCCCCCCTTTGCAGGATGCTGCAGAGGTGGGGGGACAGCCAGTGGCTGTTTTTAGGATGAGATTTGGAGTTGGTTCACCCTGGGCTGCTTGCTACCTGTGTCAGGGTGACACAAAGATGGGCTGCGGAGCCTGGGGACGTGGGCAGGGGTCACTGAAGTGTTGGGCATCCCCCCAGCTCCACTGAGGTGGCCAGAAAGCAAAAGCTGAGGGAGCTGAGCAAACCCAGGGCAGGGAGGGGCGAGCCAGGCCCATGTGGAGGGAGGAAGCAAATGCCTCCTCCTCCTCCTCCAGTTCAGCACGCAGAGCTGTGGGGTTCAGCACAAGCACAGGGAGCAAAGCCCCCACGGGAAGAGCCACAGAAGGGGTGCTGGTGAGGCCAAGCACAGGCAGGAGGGTGGGTTTTGGGGGGTCCTGGACAGCAGGACCAGGTGTCCCCAGCCCAGCAGTGCCAGCGCCTCATGGAGTGAGAGGGTGGGGGTGCAATGAGTCAGGGTTTGGGGTCTGAGAGCGGGGCTGGGGCAGCCCGGTGGGTGCCCACCAGCCTGGCCAAGCACCCTTATCCCCCCAGCACCCTGGGAGTGGGCAAAGAGGAGATGGAAGAACGAAACAGAAAAAGCAGAGTGGTGTTTCAAACAGCAGGCCGTTGTTTGCCCTTTTTTTTTCCGCATTTTTCTCATTTTTCTCTTTTTTTTTTTTTTGTCTTTTTTTGTCTTTTTTTTAATCCTCTTCTTCGCTGAACTATATACAGACACCATGAGGTTTGCTGAAGGCAACATCTCAGATCAGATCAGTGTGATATTGAGAGCCGGGACCCACGGAGGGTCCGGCGGCCCCACAGTAAGACAACATCGCCGGGACCCCCCCCTCGTACACGGACACCCCCCGCCCCCTGTGCAGCCATCGCGGGTGGGGGATCCCGATCCGTCCCCCGCGTATCCAGACCGGGTTTTACCGGGACCCGGCGGGAGGGAAAGCCCGGCGCTGGCTCGGCCCGCCCGGAGCGGGCTCGGGGGGTCCCGGGGCTCCCCGGTACGGCCCGGCCCGGCCCCGCTCGGCTCCAGGCGCTGCCTCCTCTGCCGGTCCCTCGCTGGCGGCGGGGCGGGTGCCCGCGGGCGCTACACCGGCTGCCTCTGCGGGGAGAACGGAGGAGTCAGCCCGGGGATCCCGCTGGAGGGAGGGGGGGCCCTGGGTTGTCCTCATCGCCCCCCACCCTCCCCCCCTGCCAATAACCGGGCATCCACCCGGCACGCAGCGCTTTCAGAAAGGGTTCAACCATCATCCACCACCTCGTCTGTGCTCGGGGAAGGGGATAAGACCCCTCAGACCCGGATGGATGCCCCAGACCCAGTGGCTGGCACACCCGATACCCCCAGGGATGTGTTGCCCACACAGAGCTGAGCATCCAGGATGGGCATCCCCAGGAATTTGGGGTCTGAAAGCAGGTCCTCCCACCACAGGGAGCTGCAGAGCATTGGGGATGCACAGGGCTTACCTTATGTTTGGGACATCTCAGAGAGAAGCTCTCCTCAGTTAATAAGCAGCCTGCGAGGAGAGGACAAGGACGTGTCAGGGGACAGCCTGCACTGCGTGGCAGCTGCCCCCGAGTGAGGGGAATGCAGTGTCCCCCCAGCCCCACGGCCACCCACCAGCCACAGCGTTTGTGTGAAGGGCTCAGCTGAGGCCAGACAAGCTTGTGACACCCACCAGCACAGTGGGCATCACCATCCTGGCAAGGCAGCGAGCCACAAACCCCTGGCCCTGGAGCAATGGGCCCCACACTGAGCTGGGTCAGAGTGCCCAGGACCCCGTGCCCCATCCCTGTGGCCGGGCTCACCTGTGTCGATGGCACATGCGTAGTGGTAGGTGTGGGGACACCCCTTCTGGCAGCAGCCCACAGTGGCTCCTGCTTGCTGGCAGCTCGAGCACTTCTGTACACGCACCCGGGAATTCGGAGCAGGGAAGGAGAGATGTGGAGAGACAGAGAGACCCTGTCAAAGCCCAGCACAGAAGAAGAGAACCACGACAGCCCCAGCAGCAAGGGCAACACGGGTGTCCCTGATCCTCTCCAGCCCCTCCTTGCCTCTCCCAGGCAACATCCTTCCTCCCGTGCCAGCGCACTGTGAACCACACCATGCCTGTCACTGGGCTGTCTGCAGCCAGGCACGAGGTTTCTACCTGCCATACCACCCTGCTGGATGACACCGAGCCCACAGCCATGCTCCATGGGCCAGGAGGGGAAGGGACATGACCTGGGTTGTGCCCTACCTGCCCCGTCCCCAGCAGGGGCCGCAGGGATGGCAGCACCTGGCTCAGTGGTGAGGGCAGCAGCTTCCAGACAGCCATGAAATGAGCACACAGGCTTGGGAATACAGCCAGCCCTCAAACCTGGCACTGGGGGGACTTGCTGGAAACCCCCTGCACAACCTCTGATGGGAGGCTGCCCCCTTCCTCTCTCAGGCACTAAAAATTACATCACAGAATCCTAGAATGGTGCAGAAGGGACCTGTAAAAACTCATCTCATTCCAGCCTCCTCCCACAGGCAGGAATACTTTCCACTAGAACAGGTTGCTCCAAGCCCCATCCAGCCTTGAACACTTCCAGGAACGGGCCAGCCACAACTCCCCACTCCCTTCAGCAACCTCCCTATTTTGCTCACACCTTGCTCCAACCACTGTGGGAGAGGGCAGGGCAGGGTCATGCCCTCCCTCCAGTTCCCTTTCCTCTGCTGCCCACCACGGTGGCATCAAGCTGTGTTGTGCCCATTTTCATCTCCCACCCTGCGGCATCTGTCCTGCTCTGAGCCACCCCGTGCAACACACGACTGGGCCAGGGGACGTGACAACCCCAGGAGGGCCCGTCGCCTTCCTAAAACATAACCCGTAGGCTATTTCTGCACCTAACAGGGAGAGTTCAGGCGCTATCAGAGACGCAGCAGCACAAATCTCACAGGGACCCAGCAGGGCTCACGGTGCTGAGCACCTCCCCTGCTCTCCCAGGGCAGGACTATTAATTTCCATCCCGACCGGAGGCGCAGACACGGGAATGACGTTGGCTGAAGGAGGCCAGCAGAAGATGCCGCCTCGGGCGTGCGGCCGAGCTCTTACCAGGTCGGCAGCCGCCTTGACAGCCTCCTGCAGCCCATAGAGCTTCCCCGCCACCAGGAAAACCCCAGCGGTCCATACGGCACAGGCCTCGTGCAGCCAGTGCTCCTGCGTGTCGCCCGCCGGCTCCTGCGGCGGCGACTCGGCCTTGTGACATTCGTGCCGCCGGGGCTTTTCGGCCGCCTCCTCGCCCTCTGTCCTCTCGTCACAGCAGTAGCAGCTCTGCAGCCGACGGAACATGCCCCGCGGGCTGGAGCGCAGCGAGCTCTGCTTGGCCGCCTCGGCGGCCCCCTCCGGCCGCGCCGCCTTGCCGCCGCAGCCGCCCTCAGTCCCGCGGGGCGCCCGCTCGGCCGCGGCGGGCACGGCGGAGTCCTCGCCCGGCCCCTCCGCCCGCGCCTTCTCCTTCAGCCGCGATTTCTTCTTGGGCAGGCAGTCCTCGGGGTAGTAGGGCCCGCAGAGGTCCCCCAGGTCCTTGTAGTTGGCGGGGTTGCGGCAGAGGCAGCAGACCAGGCACGCGGCGCTCAGCGCCTTCGACACCACCGGCCCCATGTGCATGGTGGAGGAGGCGGGCAGGGCCGCCCGCGGCCGCGGCGCCGGCCCGGCCGGTCCCCGCTGCAGCCGCGCCTCGTCGCCGGGAGAGTTGACGACGGTGCAGGTGGTGGTGAAGTCTCCGCGCCGCTCCACGCGGACGTAGGGAGCGAAGGGCGGGGCGCGGCTGTCCGCCCGCAGCCGCTTGCAGGAGATGTACTTGAGCCGGATCTCGGGCTCGGCGGGGTGCAGCAGCGGGGCCTGCTGGGGCTGCCGCCGCCGCTTCCCGCGGCTCTTGCACCGCGCCGGCACCGCCTTGGCCTTGCCGTGGCCCAGACGCTTCCGCTGCCGCTTGGAGTAGCCGTTGTAGTTGGAGTGGTTGGCCCGCGGCTTCGGCCCCCGCGCCGGCCCGGCGGCGGAGCGTCCCTCAGGAGGGCCGTCACTGCTCCCCGCCTCCTTCTCCTCAGTCTTTGGTTTCTTCTCCCGAGGCGCCTCCTCCGCACCACCCGGGCCGGCTACACGCTCCCGGGGTAGTGGTTGTGGCAGTGCAGGGCTCAGGGGCGCCTTGGCCATGCCCAGCGCTGCTGCTTTGCCCTTGCGGTTCCTCTTCTTGGGGAGGAGCCCCAGGTTCTTGGCCACCATGTTGGGGCTGGTCTGGGTCCCTGGCGTTGACCCACAAGCTTCCCCCTGGCAGCCGTCATGGGGCAGCTTCTTCCCACCACCCGGCTTCCCCTTTGGTGCTCGGCCATTGGGGTTCCGGCAGAGCGGCTCAGCCACCGGCATCGTGGGCACCTTCTG